TCTTTTCTTTTCATTCGAGGAAACAAAAAAAAGTCGCACGGGGCAAGGTCGGGTGAGTATGGAGGGTGAGGAACAGGGGTCATACCATTTTTGGTCAAGAATTGTCGTACAGACAGGGCTGTGTGAGCAGGGGCATTGTCACGATGGAAAAACCAGTCATCCGACTGCTCCAAGTCACTCCCGACAGCTCCACAATTTCTTCAATGGTCCGTCGTCGATCTTCCTTGATGATTTCACGAATTTTTTCAACATTTTCATGTGTTCGGGCCGTGGAAGGACGACCAGAACGAGGTTTGTCATCAATTGACATTTCACCATTTTTGAAACGGGAAAACCACTCAAACACTTGAGTTTTCCCCATAGCATCGTCCTTGTACGCCGTTTTTAACATTTCAAGAGTTTCTGTTCCACATTTCCCGAGCAAAAAGCAGAATTTCATCGCCACACGAAAATCAGCCATTGCAAAAACGACGTTCACACAAAACAGTTGTCACTATAAACTCTGCCGAAACTAGTCCTTACCTTCTGAAGAAACGGTAGTCAGCTTTTCGACTCAGGAATGTTAGCTCTATGCGCTCACAGCGGCAAAACGCGGTACTACAAAAGCTCTGCCCACAAAAAAATTAGTTCGGTTTCTTTTGGGTACCCCATCGTATACGTAAGAGTGACTGAATTCGTTCAAGGCAGTTACAAGTCAGTCATAAGCCGGAGGAGTGAGTCTAGAAGAATTTTTAGTTCCGAGGTTCCAGAGTGATTGAAGACGAAGTAGCAAGAAGACTTCATAGTGATTTGAAGTGCTAGTTTCTGTGTTGAGATCCGTTGCTAGGAGACGACTAGTGAAGCCTGAGAATCTTAGTGCGTGTGCAACGGTTAACTGGAAAGTGTAAATCAGCGATAGCGCTGTACTTAAGTGTGATTAAGAGAACTTGTAACTGAAGTGCTAACAAATCCAATCACCCGAACTAGAATCCGTTATTTTCGTCACGCGTACTACCTTACAGAATATGAAAATGCGACATATGTTTATATGCAACATTTCAGTTGACCTAATCCTTCCAGCCGCACTTTGGCCCTGGGTACGACTCAGCGTCTAACAGAAATGAGTACCGGGAATCTTCCTGGGAGTAAAGGACGGTCGACGCGTAAAGCTGACAATCTCACCGCCATCTGTGAGCCGACTGTCGAGAGAAAATGTGGGAGCATCGACGTCTCACAACCGTATGGGCCTCCAAGGCCTCTTACAGGGATAGCGTTACCTTTCTGCCATGTAGGTTGCAAAGTAGAGGTCCTCAACTCTACGACAGTCAGCAAAACATTCGTAAAGGGATCAGATGTGACTTTCTAAGCAAATTTTCTAGTTGCGCCAGCCTGAAAAATTCCTGACATCGCCCATGGTTGTTATTACTCTAATCTGTGGTTGTATTCTGCTTTTATTTTAATAAACGTGTACAGAATTTATGACTGAAAAGACGATTCTGTCCATTGCTTCAGTAAGGCCAACAGTAAAAGTGTGGGCCATTGAACTTCAGAAACAATCAAACCCATAATTAGCACGCGATGCCCGTAATCCAGTCTCTTTCCATTGAGTAAGAGTGTGTTGACCTTTCTCATGCTGTGTGACACGAAACAAAGCAATAGAATGCGCAGTGAGATCTTTTACATTGATATACATATATAGGTGGGCACCATAGAGAGTGCCCCCAAAAGAAATGCACCCTTTTATGTGGAACTGACATTCACAAAGTGCCGACACATCCAACTGTGGGAAATGGAACATTCATCAGATATGGCGCTATCATATAAAAAAGGAAACGTGGGCTTTTTCTTACTTTCACATATTCACACTCTCTTTCCACGCTGAATTTTATTCGTAATTGTAACAACGGTTTATGAATTATTTTTACCGAACCAGAAAGCCGACCTGTAGGACTAATGTTCATTCATCGTTTATACATGTAGGAAAAATTACTTTGGCAGATGTTTAATATACGAATATTTCTTGTAGGTCTTCTCGTCTGACTAAAAACATAAAAAATAGAACATATAAAACTATGATTTTGTCTGTGGTTCTGTATGGGTGTGAAACTTGGTCTCAGACATTAAGGGAGGAAAATAGACTGAGGGTGTTTGAGAACAGGGTGCTGAGAACATTTGGACCGAAGAGAGATGAAGAGACAGGAGGCTGGAGAAAGCTGCATAATGAGGAGCTTCATAACTTGTACTCTTCTCCAAGTATAATTAGAATGATCAAGTCAAGGAGGATGAGGTGGGCAGGGCACGTAGAACGAATGGGGAAGAGGTTAAATGCATATAGGATATTGGTGGGAAAGCCGGAAGGAAGGAGACCGCTGGAAAGACCAAGACGTAGGTGGGTGGACAATATTAAAATGGATCTCAGAGAGATGGTATGGATTGGACTGATCTGGCTCAGGATAGGGACCGCTGGAGGGCTCTTGTGAACACGGTAATGAACCTTCGAGTTCCATAGAGCTCCGCGAGTGAGTGATTCCTTGTAGGTTTGTATAAATTCTGATTGCCAACTCAGTGCTGGGAACGGAATTCCGAACACGTTGCGTTAAATTGACCTCTAGAAGCACAATATTCACACTGACATGCATCATGATCGCGTTGTTTAACCGGACGTTATTACTCCTAACAGACTATCAAACGTACGTACAAATTTACAGGACTTTCCGCTCTATGGCTGTTTTCTTTTTAAGGAACTGTAACATTCATTTATTAGTCGTGTCTGATATCAGAATTTACAATTTGATAGAACCCTTATCATCTTCCTTTTCTTCTCCTTCTTTTACTCTTCCTAGTAATTTTTTTTTCTCTGCTTCAACCCAGTCACCATCTTCCTGCTGCAGCAATCGCCCAATTTGATTCTAGGTCTCCTATGTCATATAAAAAGGAAAGAAAAACAAACTCCGTGGTTTTAGTCCGCAAGCGAACTATACTGACCGAGCGACCGCCGCTTGTAGGCGAAGTTAGTGTCAACTTTAACGGATAGAGGGTGTCGCGTGGTCAGCGCAACGAATCCCCACGGCCGTTAATTTCGGTTTTCTAGATCGGAGTCGCTATTTCCTTGAAACAGCTCCTCGATTATCCTCACGAGGCTGTGTGGACCCCGTTCGAGATCCACTACTTCTCAGAAAAACTGGTAGCGCCGGGAATCGAACCCAGACCTCTGGATCTGTAGCCAGGAACTCTGACCACTAGACCACAGAGGTGTTCTCTCCTATGTTACATAATAGTTGTAACTATATTTACATTGTATTCATTGTGTGTAGTGTGTCCTTTATTGTTTGTGTAGTTTTGTGTGCTGCGTTTTGAGTGTGGTGTGTTATTTTGTGTTATGTGTGTTATTTGTGTGTCGTGTCTTATTGTAGTATCACTGCCACCGAGTAAAAGACCATTTGCAGTTTAAATAAATAATAATAAGTTTTCCAGATCATATTATAGACGAAAGCCGCCTACGAGGGAAGATCGGCCCCCATCAAGACCTCTACCTACAAAAGACAATAGATAGGCATCTTCTTATGCCACAACCTACGTAGATTCAAAATTACGATCCTACTGCTCTTACCCGGCTACCAGTATCGCCTCGGTTGTTTTCCCATTAGCTCTTCGTTTCGAAACGGTAACCTTTGCAAGATGCAACAAACCACTTACCTTGTCCTGAACAAACAGTCGAAGCGCGATAAATGCTCGTTATCAACTGAGCACAACGTCTGCCCATCAACACTGAGCTTACTGTTGCTTTCAAGTGTGACCTTCGCGTGAAAACGATATGACCACTGAACCAATCAAACAGTTGGAAAGCGGATCCCTAGTCGTTCGCTTCATATGACGTCATTAATCTTCCCGCCCACTTTTGTGTCCCGACACCGAATAAATCTTCTTTGTGCCGAAGTTAAAGAATGCGTGGGAGTATAAGCCCTCCAAAAAACATTGACGTAGTGCTAACTTTAGAGCGTACATACCGCATATTTAAGAAAAACGAAAATGGTGGTGCTTTCCTTGTGTCATTTGCATGGAACAACGGAGGAAGAGCACGAATAAGTCTTCATAGTCACGGGAGTCGGCGAGGGAGGTGGCGAGCCAGGCAGTCATGCTCATGGTAGGTGGAATCGATCTTTTCACCTCCTGGATGTGGGACAGGAGCTGTAACCACCATATTACAACACTCCGTATGTCTGTTTATAATTGGAATCAAACAAGATGACAGGTGAGTGATTTTTTTTTTGCGTAGAAAGAAACAGATGTATACGATGTATATGTGTCGAGCTGATTCCAATTGAATTTTAATACTAAGAATATGATGCAACCGGTTGTACCATTAGGGTAATTATCAATAGACTTACTTCCTTACTCATGGAGCTGAGCCCTTCTGGAGGAGCCGTCAATTCTGCAGTTACTCAAGAATTTCCCAGCATTTTATGGAACCCGAAGGTTCATCACCGTGTTCACAAGAGCCCTCCACTGGTCCATATCCTGAGCCAGATCTATCCAATCCATACCATCCCATCCTATCTCTCTAAGATCCATTTTAATATTGTCCACCCACCTACGCCTTGGTCTTCCCTGTGGTCTCTTTCCTTCTGGCTTTCCCAACAATATCCTATACACATTTCTCGTCTCCCCCATTCGTGCTACATGACCTGCCCACCTCATCCTCCTTTACTTGATCATTCTAATTATACTTGGAGAAGAGTACAAGTTATGAAGTAAGCAATTATCAATAGACACTTGAATTAATATTATTTCATTATACATTTGAGTTGAATTTCCCTCGCCAATATACTCCCAGCACTGCATACCCCAATTTAATAAATCGGGTGAGAAGGCTTTGTGAAAGCAGTAATGAAACTTCGGGTTGTTTAAGAGCGAAGAGTTTCTTGATTGAATATCGTCACTTCAAGGTACTTGTTCCTTTAAACATACACCACACTGAATAAGATTTCACATGAAACTTGTATATTTTAATGATGTCATTATCTTATCTGATGTTCCGGCTATTTCTGTTGTGGGGAGTTTTCGGGAAAAATCCTACATTGAGGTTTGTATTTCGAGTAAAGTATAGGACTAATGCGCACGTAAATTAAATTCGCTTTGCAACGTTTAGTGTACACCCCTCACTATCAAATTTAATCGAAGTCCGTTGATTGATATCGGAGCTGTAACGTGTAAAACGGACATATAACTACACAGCTGTGCTCACTGTCAGTTCGTTTTATTAATTTCGTTCCAAAAAAGCATAGAAGTAAACGATGGAGTGTTCGCTTTTGACAAGGCGTCTTCTGAGCCATTCGTTTGCTTGCAGCTGATCACGAAATCAGGACAATCAGTGCTGAAATATGTCTCCTGTATACAAACTTAGTGCCCTGCTGACCTGATGGAGCTGTATTCATATGGGATTCAACATGTGGCTTCATCTCAGGCTCCATTCTGTGTCGTGGTCCAAGAGCGTTGCTTTGTTCTTTGCCTGGTATGGAGGCAAATTGACTGTATTAGATGTCACGGCCATATGTGATAGTCCCTACACTCTCGCGTCAAAACCCGTTTCATTTTAATTGATGGAAGGACCGTAAATGCGGACACGAGTCTGGAGCTTGTGGTCTGTAGTTCGTGACTTGTAGGGTTTATGTAGACAGGAAGAGAAGGAAGACAGGCAGAAAAATATAATTGATTCATGTGCGTGAGATATGTTGCGTATTTTATATGAATTTCTAATAGAAGCTCCTCGGTAGTCTACATACCATTTAAAATATAGGTAAAAATAAAGTTATCCTTGTAACAGACTGTGAAGGCCCATAGGGTTGTGAGACGTCGAGGCTCACATATTCTCTAGACAGTCGGCTCACAGATGGCGGTGAGGTTGTCAGCCTTACACGCCGGCCGTCCTTTACCATCAGGAAGATTCCTGTTACTCATTTCTGTTAGAGGCTAAGTTGGCCTCAGGGCCATAGTGCGGCTAGAAGCATTAGATCAATTGAAATATGCAATATCGGAAATCGAACTCAGGCTTGTAGCATAGTGTCCCAACCAACTACGCTGCCGCTTGTTTTGTTGTATCTTAATTTACTGGATACGGAATAGTGGATAAGCTAGCTGTTGCCATCATTTTCACTGCTTCTCAAGGGTGAAAGTGTATGATACGAGAAAGGCCAAGCTATATCTTTAAGCTGTAAAAGAACAAAAAAAAACGTAATAATTCATATAAATTTGCATTAAAATTTGTTTATGCGTGCAATGAACTATTGAATTCGTAATATTTTTATTTAAGAAAACTCCTTCGTGGTTTTCTGAATCAGAAGAGAATAACAACTTCGCAGTGACTGCAGTACTTGCGCCAATTTTGCACCAAAATAACAGTCTCCCTCTCTTGTTCATGGAATCCTCAAATAGGAGCAGGAAGCAGGCATTACGCCTACTTAGAGTTACGTACTAGCCTGAATACGGACATCGCCTAACTACATTCGTAACACAGTGCTCCAGTAATACATACATCAGCTCAGGGTTTCTCAGCCTGTGCACCGAGAGACGAAGTGTATCGTGATATATTGAATTTGAACGTGTTTCTTTCTACACAGATGGTGCTAGTGTAGCGGCCGTCAACACAAAATCGATAAATAAAACTGGCATTAACTTGTTAATACTCTGTTTGATTACACATACCGCAACATGTCTCGATCTATATGACAATCTTCAGGTCGTTAGACAAATGTGCAAACCGTAGTTACTGAGTTGTTTTTGACTTAAATGGATCAGTATTAATAAAATATAGCAATTTTCATTTTTCTAACATGTCGGAGTTCGAGTCCCGGTAGGAGCAAGAGTTTTCTCTTCTCCATTTTGTCCAGACCGATTTTGTCCCACCCAACCTCCTATCCAATTGGAACTGCGGGCTCTTTCCCTGGGGCTAAAGCGGTCGGGGCGTGAAGTTAACCACTCAGCTCCAACTACTGCCGAGCTTAAGAAAACCTGGATCTGTACGTCCACTCCCTCACACGCCTTCATTGCGTAATGTTTAACTAATTAAACACTACGCCATAAAGGAGTATGTGGGAGTGGACGTACAGAGCCACTTTCTCTTTACCTCAGCACTACTTAGAGATAAGTGGTCAGCTTCACGCCCCTGCCGCTTTAGCCCCAGGGAAAGAGCCCCCGGTTCCAATTGGATAGGAGGTTGGGTGGATAAAGGAGCCCCGTCAGTACAGAGGAAACTTTCGCTGTTCGTAATGTCGGAGAGGAAAACGCAATGAAATGAAAATAAATAGGACATTATTATTATCATTATTGGCTCTTTACAAAGTTCGCTTTACATTCAGCCGCCGAAACAAACCTGTATTTTAAACTTCTTAACGATTGCAGCAGTGCCATGTAATTCGGCTCGCCCCGCTCACAAAAATACCTGCAATAGTGGCACAATCCAAGTGATTTCCCCCTCTAATTTGCATTCATCCAGAAACCTCCGTTATTTCAGACCGAATATTAAGTGAAATCATTGGAAACAATATGGAGATATTGCGTATATTCTCCAACCGTATAAAGCTCCTCCCATTGTGAGAAAGTGGGGTGTATAGTGCGGGCTTACACGTTCATATTCTGGGTAACTGTACCGTGTAACGCTCGTAGGTAAGTATCAATTTTTGGAGGAATAAAATTCATTCAATTCATTCACAAACTTCTTATAATTCATATAATCAGATCCATGGGTCGCGCCATAGTTCAAGCCGTTAGTCGCTGGCTTCCCACCGCGTCGGCCCGGGTTCGATCTTGGGGTCTGGTCAAATGGGATTTGTGGTGGAAAAAGTGGCGCTGGGGCGGGTTTTCTCCGATTACCAAATTCCATCATCATAATCATGCGGGGCAGGTACAGTAGGCCAATCAGTGGCCGTCGTGCCGAGGGGACCCAGTTGGGACTCCACCCCCCACTAAGAGAATTAAAAAAAATAGATCCATGGAGCAGAATTCTTCTTGAGAAGCTAATAGTCGCTCAGCTACTACATGTAAAAAAATTACAAGTAGGCATCTGCTTGAGGTATGTGGGTGCTTTATCACAATTTTTATTGTACAATTTTTCTGTTATCTCCCGCTGACAAAGCCTGGTCTCAGGTATTTATGTAGGTTGTCCAGTTATTGAAGTCAGCTGTTTCTAACGGACACAACAGAGTAATTGTCGTCTCCACTTTCATCTGAGGAAGGAAACAAATCCCGTTCTCAGGTCCTCTTGTCACAGCCGCCCGTGCAGAACTCTTGTCAATTCCCTCAGTTGACAATTGCCAACAGACAACTCTCTCTCAATTATCACGTCAGCCGACCTGGGATCCTCGTTATAGAGGCCCGGGGCGGATCCAGCAGAAGACACCGCTTTCAAAAGCATTGCAAGGGCTACACTCGTTGTTTGCTTCGAAGTCTTTTCCTAGCAACGGGTCTATACGCCACAGTATTTTCCCTAAATTAGTCTGCACACGGATAATGCAGCTAATATTATTCGTCCTTCGATCACTGCTCACTGCTCACTTACAGCGCCATCAAGACACTGCTGCTGAACTAATGATAAGAGGTCCTTCGATGGTCTGGTCCTCCGTACAAGAGTCCTGCCGCCTTCTTAGTAAGGACCTGCAGAACCTCTACGGCAGAGGAGGTTGAGGCTGGAGTAGAGATACCTGTTGAGGTTATCTGCTCTCCCATCCATGGGGTTACAGCGCTCCACTTAATTTTGGTTTAGAATACTTGGATAGTTGAGCAGGACAGGACTAAGGCCACTG